CCTTCTGTTGGTGCCACTTTAACCTGAGTTGATGCTTTAGTCAAGTCTTTTACCAATCCAATGGCTTCATCTTCATGTTTCTGTCTCTCAGAAAGAATGTTAGTTTCATCAAATACTACATGCACACTATCTTCAACACACAAAGTTCTTTTGTTAAACACTTTATATGCTTTGCTATGTGAAGAATATCCCAAGAACACTCCCTCATCACTTCTGGGATCAAACTTACCTAGGGAGTCTTTTCCATTATTGTGCACATAGCACTTGCAACCAAATGCCCTAAGATGGGATATGTTTGATTTTCTCCCTTTAAGTAACTCATAGGGAGTTTTCTCAATAAGAGGTCTAGTCATGCATCTATTTATTATGTAACATGCAGTGTTTATAGCTTCTGCCCAGAAGCTGTGAGGCAATTTACTAGAGAGTAGCATGGTTCTAGCCATATCCTCAAGAGTTCTATTCTTTCTTTCAACTACTCCATTTTGCTGAGGGGTCCTAGGGGCAGAGAAATTATGATCTATACCATTTTCATCACAGGATTCAGCAAACTTTGAGTTTTCAAATTTAGTTCCATGATCAGACCTAATGGAGGCAAGTTGATTTCCTAATTGTTTCTGAGTTTTTCTAACAAATGCAGAAAACATGTCAAATGCCTCATCTTTGGAGGTTAGAAATAGAACCCAGGTAAATCTAGAATAGTTATCAACTAGCACCATTACATATCTCTTTCCACCTCTGCTCATGGTTCTCATTGGACCGCATAGATCCATATGGACCAGGTCCAACGACTTGGTTGTACTTACCATTTTCTTGCTTTTGAAGGATGACCTTACCTGCTTTCCCCTTGCACATGCCTCACAAACTTTGTCTTCCTTGAACTTGATATTAGGTAACCCTATCACCAAGTCTTTAGAGACTAATTTGTTAAGCTGATTTAGACTTGCATGACCAAGACTTTTGTGCCACAGGAGGGGATCATTAACCAACACACTTAAACAAGTGAGTTCATTTTCTGTAAGAGTGGACAAATCTACAATGTAAATATTGTTAACTCTTTTTCCCTGCAAAACAATCTTGGTCAGTGGTAAGGTTAATCACAAAGCATTTGGTGGAGGTAAAAGCCACAAGGTTACCTCTGTCACACAGTTGTGACACACTTATTAGGCTATATTTCAAGCCATCTATCAGGTAGACATTCTCTATGGAATGAGAATCTGTTTTGCCTACCTTTCCAACCCCAATGATCTCACCTTTCTTTCCATTACCAAAGGAGACATTACCTCCCTTTAAGTTCTCAAGTGAAAGGAACTGGTCCTTGTCCCCAGTCATATGTTTTGAGCAGCCACTATCCATATACCATATTTGGCTCCTCCCTTTCACTTGGACCTGCAAAAGGAAATCAGGGGTTAGTCTTAGGAACCCNCATTGGAGCAGAAATTCTCCCTAGTTGTTTGCTACTTGAACAATTGACCTTTCGTTTGGTGTAATTGCTCTTCTTTTTAGGTTTTTACTCGTGTGAGATGTATAATATTCACTATGTGCGTGTCCCTTTTCTTTCGTTTTTTCTTGTCATAGAAACAGTGCGAAATGAAATAGCTGTGCATCTGTTTGTCTTGGGAACCTATGGTTATCTGTGATCCCTCTTGGCTTATTGGTGTTATCGATAACCGAATCGATAAGCCCCAAAAATCGATAAATCGAAATCGAAAAAATCGAAACCTTATTGAAACGATAACGATAAGCATATGTAAAAATCGATAATCGATAAGTAATTATCGATAAGGATCAAAATCGAATCGATAAATCGAATGCACACCCCTAGTTGCTCTTGAACCTCCGCCTCGGTGGCTCGACCCGCAGCTAAGAACTCCTCGAAGACGACCAATCTGGCCTCGGCGTATACCCACATATCATGCGCCTCACGACGCGCATCCTCATCAGGCCTTGACGCAGCAGTCCGCTTGAGGACTTCAATCTCAGCCGCCTTGGCATCGAGTTCAGAGGTCATGGCGGCAACCTTGATCCGCAAATCAGCAGCTTCCGCCGCTACCCCATGGCCAACCTCCAACTCTTCTTCTTTAGACTGGAGAAGAGTTTCCAGCTCGATATTCCGGGCCAAGGCGGCCATCAGCTGCTCATCGATCTGCTCTAACTCGGCCACCCTCCGTTTCAGCTGGGCCTCCAACTTCTCCAGACCCTCACGGAAAACCCGAAATTCCGGGTCCTGCTTGAGTAGGTCCGCTAGCGCTTGATGCTTGACTCGGCACCGCCGATATTTCTTTACCACCTTGTTAAAGGTGGCTGCCTTCCTTTGCGCTCGCCGCCCCCTCTCTATCTCCAAAATGAGAGTTTAGAAAAGAGGAAAAGGATGAAAGGCAAGTCAGCAATGCATCAAAATTTATTTTACGATGCATGAAGAGAATCAAAAAATACCTGTAAGGCCGCACCGGCAACCCTCCGGGATAGTTCCCCGTCGCTAAACCCTTGTAACGTTTCACGCTCAGCGGCCACACATAGCAGGGTCATATCCGCTGCGGCCTGCTCGCTGTGTTGCAACAGGTTATACCCCCCCGGGATCAGAATACGACGGTTGGATCTACCTACCGTCATCCCTACACGGGCCGAACCCCGCGTTGACGCTTCTGCATCTGCCTGGGCGACCTCAGGGCCCGCCCTCTCGGCATCATCGTCCGCCTCCCCAACGGCAGCCGACGAGCCCCTCTCCGGAATGCGTGTTGGCCTGGCGTCGAGAACGGCCCCCCTATGAGGAGCCGACCTCCCGGAACGGATGGCATCCGCCATAAAAACTAGCCTTGACTCTCGACGGGGCTCGCTCGCCCCCTCATCTGCCGTGGCTATCCCCTTGCCGGTTATCAACCGACGTCTTTTTCTTTCCGGCGTCTCCTCGCTCTTAGAAGTCTCCTCCACAGCCCGAGGGGATGGTGTCGAAGGAGTCGCTCCCCTCGCGGACGCCGCCACAGGCAGCGGTTGAGGAATCTCCGCGGCACCATCACTGGGCGAGCCGCAGGGAATGTATCCATCTTCAGAATCAGTACCCGCCCCAGGTAAGATGACGATGCTCTTTTTCTTCTTCTTAGGGGCGCTCGGACCTGTCAACGCGAATAAGTCATAACAAATACGTAGGGAATCCCCAAACCGTAGCCAAAGAATTACCTGACGGGCCGTACTGCCGAAGACATGCAGCCTAGGTACGGCACTCCTCCGCATAGGGTATTATTCTTTCCACCCACGATTTAATGTCATCAACAAGCTGGGGTGGAGAAACCCTCGCTGCGAATAAAAAAGAGGAAAGAAAAACAAAGGTCACTATGGCCGTATGGTCGAAGGCGCAAGCAGCACTAAAATCTACAAGTAGAAATACTTACGTTCTGGATTCCATCTTTCCGGGTACCCCTCGGGATTCGACACCAGGTGCTCCGTCCTGATGTAGAAATATTTACGCCAAAAGCGGCGGTTGGGCTTATCATCGGCTTTAACGACCAAGCCCTTTGCGCCACGACCTTTCAACTGCAGCATGGTACCCCTCAGGTAACCAGCGCTGAACAACTGTAAGAGGTGGTGGACCGAGACGCTGCACCCGGCCCTGGCCGCATAAGTGGTCATGATACGGCACACCTTCAAAGTATAGGGAGTGAGCTGGGCCGGACACACATTGTAAAAACGGCAAAGCTCCTCCACCAGAGGGTAGACTGGAAGGTCGTAACCGATCAAGAACGGGTACTCATAGAAGGTGCAATATCCAGGCCGGTGCACATTGGCATAATCCGTCCCGGCCGGAACCATTTCCACGTGGTCCGGAATATGGTGCGTCTCTCGCAGATCATCTAAATGGGATTGTAGTAAAACGCTGTGCTCCCGGGGAAGATCAGGGCTTTTAGTTGGAAAATCCCTGCGAACGTGCGTCTCCTTCGGAAGGACATTGTCTACGCTGAGAGGAACAAGGGCCTTCTCCGCCTTTTCCCCTTCACCACCGGAAGATGGCGGAACCCTAGACGGGGCCTTATCTTTGGCCTTTTTATTATTCTGTCCGCGTTTTGTCATGATTATGCTACTTGAGAAACGAAGCACTGACGATAGGAAGTGTGGTTTCAACAGAAGTGGGAGAGTCCTTCACGAAATAACGGTTACAAGAAAGGAAGGCAAAGGAGTGTATCAGAAAATACTTTTCAGCGGCTTGAAAGTGGAATCAGATCAAACCTCTCTCATACTTATAAGGATAAGTTGCACAGGAATCGAAGAGTCATGATTCAAAACATGTGTCGGAAACCAAAACGTCACTTCATCCTCTGAACCGCCTCGGGGGCAAATATAATGATGATGCATACAGGCGATGACATCGTTCCAAAAAGGAAGCCACGCGTCAGCGGCTCAACAACGTCATATATTTCACTTCATTCATATTGCCGCCCCTGGTCGAGGTCAAATTCTCCTAAGTCGAGGTTCGTATTTCCGCCCGTCGAAGACGCCCACCGAACGCGTCTCCAACGAGCGGAGGGACTAACTGTATAGGGTCAAATTTGACCCTCAGTATCTCTACGCCTGTGGGTACGCCCAATGAGTGTACGCCGACCAACGTAGCGGGTACGACTCGGCCGTGAGGACAAAAGCGACACCGTTTAGGACTCAGTGTCTACACTAGGGAGACGTTACCTATCTTTGTAACTTTTTGATTCTTTCGAGGAAGGTCTCCTATTATATAAAGGAGACCTCCACATTGTAAAAGGAGGATCTGATCTAATACAACTCTCTCATTTTTCTGGCTTTCTCTCTCTATATCTCTACTTCTAACGAAAATATCTTATTGGTAAACATTGTCACTTTGCAATATTAGATCTACAACAATATTATCATCTTTGCATCTCTAGGCTTATTATATTTGATTACGATTTACCCCTCTTCTATTTTTGATTGTTTTATCGCTTACAAAGTATATCGTTAACTTTTGAGCCAAACAGAACATATTTGTCACTCTTAAGAAGTCAGAAAGAGGCAGTGTAAGGCATCAAGTGTAGAGACGTAAGATCCGGACCGGTTAAGCCCAACTAGTAAGGCGTGACATGACACACCATCACGATAGACGTACCATCCGACTTTGCAGACCATGTCATAAACCAAGTTAAGCATCAACAATTTGGACAGTCACAACCCCAATAGACTTACTAAGATCTAAGGATGAAGTTCCGCTCACTTCTCAACCATCTCTTCCTCTTTAGGCGGGTGGTTAGGCACGTCCAATATCTATAAATGAGGGCCAAGGTCATCCTCAAAAGATATTTCAAACCTGAGTTGAATTTGGTTCCTCTGATGGTGGTTGAATGAAACTTGGAAGTCATTCAATTCTTCTAATCCAATTCCAAGAAATAGAAATCCTGAAAAATCAGTCAATAAATTATTGACTGTATGGATGGTAATCTCTAGTTTGACCAGGAAAACTAGCAAAATGAATATACTAATAAAGGCAATAATCCCAAGTACTGTGATAGGGTTGCTGCCAAAGACATCCAACTCCTAGATCATGTAACCTATGGTTAGTTTAAGAAATGATATTAGTGAAGCTTAGTTTATCATTGTCACTGTTTACATTGAGTTGGCCTGAAGTTATTCCCAGTTTCCCACAGTATGAATCTGCATGATTTTTCTCTCTAGGCTTTTGGCGGCAAAAGGACATCTTATATACTAGCCAGTAAAGAACATGGTGATTAGCAAGGGTATGACATGCTAATGAATTTAATCATTTCGCTAATTAGTACACTTGAAATAGTGAAGCACAGTGGGTAATAAAGCTCGCGTTATTTTAATAAGTAAATAAAGCATCACTCTCCAAATTCATTATTTAAGGCCAATGCAGCATATATGGCAAAGTTCAATCTATTAAACTTAAATTATAATGCACCAAGTTCACTAAGGAAATAGAATAGAAGTTCAAATATTTAGGATATGAAAGTACTACCTGTAGCTCTGTCGCTTTATCATAGTTAAGACACCAATGCCTAGTGATGGTAATTCTGTCCTTTAAGAATGGTCCACGCTCTGTCAAAATATTTAGAGCAATGTATCAATTAGGTTTCTGGAAATTCATGCAAGGTCATGATAGGATAAACAATCAGACTTGACAAAAGATTTAAAGCCAAGACACTTCCCACATAAGTGGCTGAAAGGAACCTATAAAGAAGGGAAGGGAGGAATTATGTTACTAGTCATTTTAATACTATGTCCGCCGTAGTTGTAGACTACATGCTTCATCGAATCTCGTTTACGGGAAGCTTTTACTTGATTAAAACAATCCTATTGGAGACAGTGTTTAATACAGAGAGGGATGAAAATAGATATTTGCTTTTTAGTTCAAAAGATATATAAGAGCTCTTTAAAAGGAATGATTTTATGTTCTCTTCCTCTTAGGAAGTGGATAGGTAATGAGAACAGTATGACTAGGACGCATGAATACTTCAAGTTGTGAAACTATTTTCTCAAACAATCTTCTCAACATTGAAATGATTACTGACAGAAATAGGGGGGTAAGGAGAGCACAACAGAGAGTGAGAGATATGCAAGAGAGAGAGAGAGAGAGAGAGAGAGAGAGAGAGAGAAAATAGCAGCACCAATACTTTAAAAGAAGAATAGCCTGTTCCAGTCTCACCTATAAAGTTGCTCTATAAGTACAACTACGGCAATCTCATGATTTAAGACTAAAGATGACAATTTGACTGATATGTTAGCTCTCTCCCGCAATTGTCTTCCATGCCCATAAGGTCCACCTATGCAAAAGAGTAAGCTTGATGCTCCCTGCAACACAGACAGGAGGAGAATCACACAGTGTCTATCTTTTTCGAATAGATCCTCATCCGATTGATGACAGATGTCTTACTAAACAGCTTTTTTTACAGTAGGCACCATACTTACAATTCCCAAGGGTGATTTGCTGCTAAATCATGATAGTAATACCATGAACAAAAGACTGCCATGATGAGGCATCACTCACCTTGTTTCCAGCATCCCCAATTAAAGAAGCCATCTGCTCAGATCCCACATCATGACCACGCTCATCCAACATTACAACCTGGTTTTAAACAGATTAGGAATAGTGAGAATTCAGAAAGAGGAAAGGGGGAGAATGTAACCATTAATTTTGTGAGGGTCAAGAGAGTGCAATTATTGTGTTCCATCTCCCAGAAAATTGATTAATGTTGAGGCATGGAAAAAATACGAAGATATCAACAGCTTCAGCAAGAATGAGAAAGCTTCTGAACACCCCAAAGACAGCAAAAATTCCCGTTAAACAAAATCATTTAAACCTGCCTGATATCAAACCCCTCAGATGTACAATAATAAAACAAGGTAAAATTTCAGTAAAACTAGTCAAAAATTGCATGCAGCCTAGGAATTCTTTTTACAACTTGAGATATAAATGAATTTTGTTAGTCCCTTGCAATTCGCCCCTAACACAACATCACTACAGGAATCATGACAGTTGATCTTCATAGCCATAGGTCATCCACCAGTTAGTCTGTTATACAATTTTATTATAATCAAATCGACTTAATTCCTTTCTCCATCTTTTCACCAATATAAACATTCCTTAATAATACTTCTTTAACGATTACTTTGTTTCAGCAACCGTCGTCTCCATCCAGGTTGTCACTTCCATTCTATAGAAATTTATACTTCCTCATGTTGGTGAATCTACCCAAATTTTGTAGAATGTTCCATTTTTTATTTTGCAAATTTTATTCCAATGTTCTTCCCCCATTTCCGCTCTGAAGGTGAAAAGTGTTGGTTGAATACCAAAATTCTAGTTTTTAAATAGACCACATTGGTCACTAGTTCCTTCAAACCATGGCTAACTATTACTGGAAGGAGCCTTCCAATCATAAAATGCTCGGATGAAATTTTTCTTTTTGAATACAATGTATAATAACAGGGATCATTTTGTAAGTCAGCTTTATTTAGAAGAATTCTTTCACAATTGTTGCCAGTGCGTGGTTATTCTTCAAAACGAATAGTTCGGCAACATTTAATTTTGTCAGTAAGGTATATATCAGTTAATATATAGAAGGTTCTATAAGTTACAAATTAGAAAGAGTAGTGTTCCAAGCAGTTTGTTCAACTTTCACCTTTTGCAAAATGAAGAGAGTTTTTTGACAAGTAGAAGAAGTAGATCCACACAGAAAAGAAAAACTTCCAGCGAGCTAAATACTTCTGAACTCTTACCCATTCATCAGGCCTGATGTGGCCCATAACAGCCATGTCCTCATGTTCAATTTGAGCCACTACATCACTGTTACAAATGTAAATAACAAGCTTCAACAGTATATTCTGCTTAACAAAATGCTGAAGGTTAAGCATCCAACAGAAGTGAAATTTACAATGTAGATAGATGATAATCAATCATGCCTTTATATATACCAAAAAGTACAAAGACTATGAACTAAAGTCACTCAAATATGTCAATGTGCTCATTACAGTAATACGACAAAGAAATCCGACTGATTCCATTAGTGGCCCGACGAAATAAAATGAAACCTAACCATAGAGCATCATAGTGATGTGCTGGTTTAGATCATAGCTTACTGGTAGACAGGTTCAAAGCTTAAGCGAGAAGGAACACCACATCTAGCTAGGGTCTGTTTGGTATGCAGGAATTTTTTCAAAAATTTTAGCACGCTTGGTCAAAATGTTCTCGAAAACATTTTCTCAAGGAAAACAAGTTCCTTAAATATCGTGGGAGTAGGGAAAACAAGTTCCATAAGTGGCATTCCACACTGATTGTCTCCTCCCAACCCACTACCCCGCCCTCCAACCCCTCACCTCCAGCCCCTGCCAACCCACCGACCCTCCTCCCATGCACCCCAGCCCCAAACCAGCATTCCCACCATTAACACTCATAGTGTTTGCCTAGATAAAAAATATAAATGCTCCTTGAGACAATATTTTCTGCTTACTTACCAAACACCAAAAAAAAAAAAAAAAAAAAAAAAGTAACAAAAAATCACTTATTCTTCAGGAAAAGATATTTTCCGTAAAAATCTGTCACACAAAGACGAGAATTCACAAATTTTCAACAACATTGCAATTAAAATTTGAAATATACCAACTTGGCAAAAGAAAGGGCAGAATTCAAACACACCGTGCATTTCTGGGATTAGACTTAATCCGTACATCATCAACACTACAATAATGTTTGAGCTTCTTCATATACTCATCAACTATTAGCTGCACTCCTTGTGACCGCTTCTTTCCAACCGTCAATACGCGTATAGGTATTGCTCTCTGTATCAAAACCAGCAAAAAATGCAAGCAAATGTGCTCATACTAGTAGTAGTAGGATTCTTCTTTTTCTTGTTTTAGCTTAATTAAGAAAAAGAGTGAAATTTAAGGAATTTCATACCACTGATTGGCCAGCGAATTTGGACTGCTGCTTTCCTGGAGAAATAATTCTAAAATATTAAAACCCAAAAATACACACACAAAAAAATTGAGATTTCTGTGGAAAAATTTACGAAACCTGAAGGAATTGAAAGGTTGTTGAAACCGGCTAGAGGTGACACTGCCATTTTCAGGTGAAAAGTCTGAATTATCCTATCACACTGATGATGGGTTTATTTTAGGGTAGCATTTTCTTAGTTTAAAATGATATTTTAATGAAAAAAAATTGTTTCAGAATGCTATTCCTGTCTTTTTTTTTTTTTATCCAGTGTCCGGTACCTGCATTGGAGTTCGACTATGTTCGGATTCGCGCCGCGTAGGGCCCCATTCGGGGGAAGCGCTTCCTAGCAAGGATTTTTCGATACCCACGGCTCGAACCCGAGACCTCTAGTTAAGGGAGGAGCAGTCTCATCCACTGCGCTCCTATCAATTTTGCATATTCTTTCTTTTGTGTTTTATTTTTTTAACTGGGTAAAAGATATTCTTCCATAATCATATTTTTTAATGTGAGGTGCTTTTATCTTTCTTTCTCTTTTATTTAAGAAAATAAATACTCCCTCCGTTCTAATTTATGTGAATCTGTTTGACTGGGCACGAAGTTTAAGAAAAAATGAAGACTTTTAAAATTTGTGGTTCTAAACAAGTCAAAAAGGGCCCAGAGTATTTGTGTGGTTATAAAAACTTCTCATTAAGGGTAGAATTATAAGTTTAAGCTAAATTGTTTTCAAATTTAGAAAGTGATCATTCTTTTTGGAACGGATATTTCAATTTTCAAGGAACCTAATAAACAAGGGAATAAGAAATTAAAGCAACTTGGTCTTGTCATCAATAAGTTAGAGCCCGTTTGGCTAATCTGCCAAAATCTGCTTATTTTAAAAAGTATTTTTTTTCACAAGTACTTTTTTTAAAAGTACTTTTGGAGAAAAACATTTTGTGTTTGGCCAATTAATTTAAGAAGTACTTTTTGCAATATTTGGTAAACAAATTGTCTTTGGCTAATCTTTCTAAAAAGTACTTTTGAGCGTCAAATTACCAAGAAGGATAGTATCAAGGTATTATAATTCTTTTAAAGAGAAAAATGAACTCAAATATTTATCGTAAGAGACTTTTATTACTTTTTATTAATTTAATCAAAATATAAAACATAAGTAAACAAACATATTAAAGATTTAAAATCAATATCACATATATAGTTATACCAAAGCATATATTATTATCTAGTATAACTACTTATTGTTACATGATGATTTGAATCATCAGAATACATCATTCAGTATAAATTAGAAGTCTATTCCACAAATTCCACAAATTACTTTATATTGATAATCTAACATGAAATAATAAATAAAGTCACTCACACATGATAATATTTCTCAACAATTTCATCTTTACGTCTATCACACAACGCCTTTATATTAGTAGAAGACTTGCCTTGCATTTCTAAAGGAATATCAGAAGGCACATCTCCTTCCTCAATCTCTGCAGTAATGTCTTCATTAGCATAATAATTGAATTCTTCATGTCGTCAGATGAAATTATGTATAGCCATGATAATTGTAACTAGATGATTCTGAGGGTCAAACTTGAAAGATGGCATTGAACGTAAAATAAAATAATTTTAAATATATATTAATAAATTTTTTTGTAAAAAAATAGTTAAGTATGTTTAAATTTAAATTCAAAAAGAGTAACTAATTATTAACAACACATAATGTATAATTTATTTTTTAAAAATTTAAATTAAAAAAAAAAACTAATTAGTATTACCTAACCTTACTAACTTTGTTCTAAATTGTCAAGTGGATAATTTTCAAGCTGCCACTTGCTTAATGTGTGATGCTTTTTCTTCTCCTTTTAATAATATATAGAAAGATTATGCGATGAAATTATAAATTTAATACCTATTTGTAGGTAATTTTCACAAATTAGATTTGATAACTTTTTAAAGATTCGGGAACTAATAGCATATAACAGAAGAAATTATAAATGATTATTTGTAGGAAGAGATTTGATAATCCAAAGAATGAAATAGATAATTTGCTTTAGTGTGAAAAAAGATGAAGATAATTTGAAAAGTTACAAGACATTATACAAAGAACAAATCAAAAACAAGAAAAGTCAATAAAGAATTTGGAAAGTTACAATATGATTCATGTATATGATATCTTTAATTTAAAATAATGGTAAAAACTAGAAACAAAATGAAAAGAAAAAATTTAAATTACTAATGAATAATTTGAAAAACAAAAATTTATGGTGACGATAGTTTTGTCTTGAATAAATTAATTTTTTACTTCTGCTACTGCTTCTTGGAAGAAGTTAGAATTTTCTGCTTCTTCCCAAAAACAGAAAAACTATTTCTGCTGCTAGCTAAAAGTACTTCTCTGTATTGGCCAAACAGCTTAAATTTTTTAAAAAGTACTTCTTTTGGAAGAAAAAAGTTCTTTCGGCCTCCCAGAAGCTTGGCCAAACAGGCTCTTAATTGGTTTTCGTTCAAATTTACATTTTAGAATATTTAGCGAAAGTTGAATAATTATTTTATCAAAGATAATAATTTGATAATTTTTCTGCAATTAAACAATAAGTTATATGATTTTAAGTGTGATTAACCTCATGAAGTTTATAAGGATTCAAACTAAACTTAAAAATATAAAGAAATTTATATTGTTTATGCTATTTAATAATTATAGCAAATATAAGTGAGTTTCGTGTAAGATAAAGTCAAATATTATAAGGTTGTTGTTTTATATGTTAGTTATGCGAGATTAATAATGAAAATATTGTCAATTATTAATAGTAAGATATTGTCATACATGAATAATTTACTCCGAAAATAATAATTTACTTGAAAATAATATTTTTCTTCTTTAAATTTTATTCCTCCAATTCTAATATATACTATTGGCAAAATATATAGGCTGGCCCTAAATTTGCGATAATATTTCATTTGGACACCTCTATGCCCTATTTCACCTAAAATAATGAAGTATATTAACTCTTACATGACTTATTATTGATATTATTTTATACAAAATTAATTAAATATTATATTATTATGAGGTCATTATTTTTTTCTCATGAAGTCAATCAAAAAATTTATTATCTTATGCAAAATTTTGTATTCGGATTAATTATTCGTATACCATCCACCCATTTACCCTATGCTTATAAAAGAAAAATTGCAAGATAAATGTGGGAAAAAAGGGTAAACAGGCGCGTAAGGAGTCAATCCCCTCAACGCAAATTCCGGCACATTTCTTTTTTTACCTTCGCGTCGGCGATGAAAATGGCCTATGGTCATGCCCATCTTACCCACCTACCAACCCAAAAAAAAAAAAAAATTACTACCAAAAAAAAAAAAATATTACTACCCATTTTTTAATGGAGGAAAAAGAAAAGATCCATTTTTTTTTTTCTTTTCACGCCAAATTCCAAGTTGCTTCCACTTTCACACTCTCCACGCTCCACACTGTTGCCCTTCAACGTGTATTTCCCGTTCTCTTGATCCAACAAAACCCATTTCCCAATTCCTATATACTTTATACAAATTTCACTACATATTATGTAATCAAAAGAATTTTAGCTTATTTGCATTTCAAGACTTGTAATTCAAACAAGAAACAAAAGGCAGGTTATTTGATTTGCTATTTGGGAAAGTGGGTATTGTGCTTTGTGTTTTATCTTTATCTGGGTTTTTTTATTTATTTTTTGTTTTATATATTTGCTGCTTCAATTACAGGAATTTGCATTAATTTTTTAGCAAAAAATTTAATCTTGAATTAATATAGCTATCTTTGAGATCAAATTAAGAAATCTCATGCATTAGTATTGAAATTGGGAGATTATTAGTTTTCAGATTTGGAGTGCATGTTATACTTTTTGGCTTTTTATCACAATATGGGTGTTTTCTTTTTTAATTTCTTGCTTTAATTGCAGGATTATTTTTAATAAAGGACTACTAATGAAGTAAGTTCAAGGCTGTATTTAAGGTTCTAAGAATTTCCTTTCTGTTTGTGGGACAACATGGAAATTATGGATACAAGTCCTTATTTGAGGTACATTTACTTTCAATTCCAATTTTCTCACTAAATGAGCTGAATGAAATGTATTAGTTTTGCTTTGTGAACATTTTTCTGATTTTCAGTTGCTTGCATGCAAGTAAATTATGGTTTCTCTAAAAATTCCATTGTCAGTAAGTCTTTATCTCCTAGTTGAATCTTTAGCTTCACTGAAATTTAGAGGCTGATTAAGCACAGAGGCGGATCCAGAATTTGAACTTTGAGGGTTCGATTTCCAGATTCTATTCACAACCCATTTGATTTATCGGACTTGGAATCTATTTTTTTATACTATTTTATTGATCTTTTAAACAAACATATAGGGTAGGATCCGAAGACTATGAACCAAAACTAATGGGTTTGGACGGACCCATAACTAATGCGCTAGGTCAGTAGGCCCCCTCTGATAAAGAAGCACTTCTGTTGAAGTAAGCAGCACTTCTTGAGGACTAGAGAATATGGCAAATGTTGCATAGACCTATTTAGGTTTCTGAAAAAACTAAGAAAAGAAAACGGGATCGTTTATTTTAGTTCATTGAGTGACACATTTCTTCTCCACTCTACCACTATTCTCAAAGCTTGGGGTTTTGAGAGAGTCATCTTTCAACTCCCCAACAAAAATGCATGATAGGCTCGTACAGCTTTATTAAGTGAAAGCCTAGTGAAATGAGAGTATTTATATGGAGGCAAACATGTCCTTGCTTCCTTTTAGAAAGCAAATATATTATGAAAATTAAGTGGTCGGGGAATTAAGAGTAGTCCCATTCTACACTTCGCTAACTTAGAACGAATATGGTACATTAGGTATTAAAACTTAGAAGTATATAATGATCATGTTGTTCGAAGTTATATCATTTTTATATGATAAATGCCGCTTCAATCCTCTCCTTCCGATTGGCCAACAGTGGCATTTTCCTCTCTTTCTTTCATGACTTGACGGTTGAACCCGGAACCTCTTAGTTGGAGGTAGAGTGTCTCATATACAAGATCAACCTTCTCTTGTCTGTTCAAAGTTATATCATTGTATATGTTCTCTAGGACTTTATTGACTAACAGAATGCATGTTTTAAATTGTAGTTTATTTTCTGCATTATCCTATGGCATTGCATCAATGGCTATGGTTTTCATCAACAAGGCAGTGATCATGCAATATGCACACTCTATGACTCTTCTCACAGTCCAGGTACAATTGCATGACTTATCAGTATGCTGAATACACACAACGGTAAGTATTGACTTGTGTTTCTTTTCTTCTTACCTTCTTTTTTACACTGTTATTAGCAATTAGCAACAGCTTTGCTCATACACTTCGGTAGAGTCATGGGATACACAAGGGCCAGAGGATTGAATGCAGAGACTGCGAAGAAACTTTTCCCAGTTTCGTTGTTCTACAATGCAAATGTGGGTTTTGCTTTAGCAAGCTTAAAAGGAGTGAATATTCCTATGTATATTGCCATCAAAAGGCTTACACCACTTGCTGTACTAGTAGCTGGATTCTTTACCGGAAAGGGTAAACCGACAACTCAGGTTAGTGATCAAGATATCCTGGGTATAATCATCGGAGGTTTCTGCTTGGTTTGGTGTGGCCAAGTTTTACTGTTTTCTCTACTAATAGTGTATGAGTATCTTCATTTTTAAGCTCTCACATTGCATGTTGCCATAATAGATCTGCAATTCTTTTGATGCTGTTATATGTCTTTTGGCCTATGTGTATACTGTAACATACTGTATTTTATTTGGAATTGATAAAAGTTGCGCTCCGGTAGTGTGGAATCTTAAGGTTAGGATTTGCTTAAATAATTAGCTAGTATATGCCTTGACAGTTGGCAGTATACTGAAATTCATAGACTATCTCTAATTATGCAGTTTTGTTTTTGTTTTTCCATGATTTCTACACAGAAATTTGTGTACTTGTCACTATAAATTAGAGAATTAAATGTTACTAATACATATTGTAAACAACAATATTATGATTCTGCATTTTAGTTTTCCTTCATCTTCTTTTGTTTTATGCCTTTTGGTTTCTTTTCTCCATGTGAGGAAACTGAGTGGAAGGTTGATATGAAAAGTTTGTGGCTTTGGTGAATTTTGAAGCAAGTGAAAATCACATAGAGGTAACATTATTCCTTTAGTCTACTATGTAGTTGATATCACCCAAATTACCTTTTAAAAAGATAAGCCGTTTGTAAGATACCATGCTAAAAAGTCTGGTCGTGCCCACATGGAGTAGGGAAGATCCGAGTTAATTATTAGGTCCCTTGTTAGTGAGACTAGGCCAAACGGTTGTGTTGGCTTTATACTTACAATTGACTAGTCTATCAACCGAAACAATTAGCTAATGCATATAGCGAAACACAGTTAAAAGATTAGCCTGGCGAAGTATCAGTTTGAGAAAAGCCTAGGACTATGGGTCCCCTTATGCTAACATAAATCATTAAACCCTTGTCTAATCTCGCTTAAACCGCTATTGTTAACCTCGAATCTGATGTATTCGAATCACGAGCATCTCTAAGTGCCTAACGCAGTCTACCTAATTCATTTTCTCACTGTTTACAGGGTAAAACTATTTAGCTTAGAGCAGACCGTGTTTGCCACTAGCTTGCTAGTGCACTTCTTCTACCCCCTTCTTTTAAGAGACACAGGGAACTTGGTGTGTCTCTGGTCTCTGACAAAGTAGTCACTGACATAGCTGGCAAAAGAGGTAACTCTTTCCGGTCTTAGTGAAATAGGATCCTAAATAGGCTTTAACAGAAGTTGAAGGGTCCTAAATATGAATTGCATTCAATACAAAATCTGTAAATCAGCCTACGTTGCGGATGGCCAAGAGGGCCTACTTGGAGATTTGGGATCTCAGCCTTTCCAACAAAGCTTGCTTAAAACCGGCCTCCACACTTATGCTATATGGTTATCTGGGATCAGAATCCCCATTAGAGAAGACGGGGATTAGTTATGATTGATGAAATGGCGGGTCTGTTCAACAAGCCACTATCATAACTGAACTAGTGTTTTTAAAAGCGAAAAGTTAAAAAAGGGACAAGGTCCATGGGACTTGAGGCGAAAAGTGAGAAATGAAGCGCACAGTTTACGAAAATTTAAAATTACTATACATATATTAATTTAGTATTATGATTATCAAATTGCAATTACAATAACTAATTTATTACATTATAGCCATTGACATATGGAACATGTTCTATTGTATTTTTGGGATAAGTTGGGTCATGCCACAGAATCTGAGAGACGCGTACTTGAGTTGGAGTCTTTGGCCAGTTGATAAGTCCATCAAAAAGATCTGGATTATGATCCCTGCAGTTATTTTTTGGTGTCTATGGAATGAGAGAAACAAAAGATGTTTTGATGGCATCTCAACTCCAAACCACTCTATTAAAGCCAAATGTTTAACAATCTTTTTTGCTGGACAAAGTTGTCCCCAATAGTTAGTACTGAACACTTTGTGGAGTTTATTAGCTCTCTTGTCCTAGATTGAAACATTGTATAGGGGCTAGCAACTCACTTTTGTTTTTTTTATGTATATCTGCTTCTTGTAAGTAGCTCCTTGTACTCTTGCATCTTCTTGAAGCCTTTTAATACAACAATTTATTTCATCAAAAAAAAAAAAATGTAAAGGTGCCATACTCGTACTCCTGTCCATTGGCCATGACAGTTGCTTCTCTGCAATAAATGTTTAGGGTGGGGTAAAGTGGATGCTCGTGTTACAGCAAGAGGGCCGGATATTGGGGTAGGACACTACCGCACTTGGCATAAGCAGTGTTAAAAATAGCGTGAAGCGAGGAAAAGCGACAACCCCCATTTCACGAAAAGCGAGAAGCGAGAAGCGAAGCGCCCGCTTTTTTTAAGTGAAGCGGAATTTTAAAAAAAAAAATTAAAATAAATAATTGGGCAGAAATTGGGCAGAAACTCGGCAGAAACTGGGCAGAATTTTTCTGAAAAAAATTCGCCAGCATCTCCGCGCTTTTTGGACGTTTAGAAAGAAAAAGAAAAAGAAAAAGAAAAAGAAGAAGAAGAAGAAGAATGAAAATAAATCTGGAAAACATACCTGTTGAAACTAAGTTGTTGAAACTAAGTTGCTGTTGTACTGTTTAAGTCTTGAAGAAGAAAGAAGAAGAACCCTAGTTTGCTTGAACAAATCGCTGGTTGAAGTGAGGAAGAAATCGCTGGTTTGAAGAACCCTAGTTTGCTGCTAAAGAAATCGAAGAAGTGCTAAAACAGAAACAGCGATTTGGGTCTTTTAATTGAAAAATCGTCCGCTTCGATCGCTTCTGGGCGCTTCACCGCTTCTCGCTTTTCAGAGAGAAGCGGTCGGTTATGCATACCTGAGCCGCTTTTAACACTGGTAGCGACACCCCTCCCGCTCCGCTTCGCTTCTCGCTTAAAGCGAGGAAGCGCCCGCTTTTTTTAACACTGGGCATAAGAAGGGTATATATTAGCTGAAATATCTTGTTAATTGTGAGTGATTGGAGCTACTGTTGTGAATCAATGTGGCTTTACCTTCTTTAAAATAGACAAAAGTGAAGAACAGGATACGAGTAAAGAAGGGAGAATAGCGCTTAGGTCCAGCTACCACAAGGAAGGTTCTGAACTTGGATAAGTTGTATCACACATTTAACAAATTCATTGGCTATTGAAACAAGGAAATACAATGGATTATGTAGGAAATAATCCTTAGCTTGGGTTAACATTACCGCCCGTCATATCTAAAAATTACGAGTTTAGATCTTGAAGAGCTATCTTTCCTGCATGATACCTTTGCGTCGGAATGCAACAATACTTTCAACAATGACCAGAACCTAAAAACTTTAGATACATGTTACCATTTTGTATAATATACCATTCCAAGAGTTTCTTCTTGAGGAGGTTTTAGAAACTTCTTTGCATAGACCAAAGAATTTAGAAGAGAAGTTTGATGCTTCTCCTTGTGAATTTTTTTGGTAAACCTCACTATCTTAAAATTCTGGTACGTTGATTAAAAAAATGCAGTGCCACCAGCACCATTTTTCCAAATGAATTAACAAAAAATTTGAGACCAAAGAGCATCGCTTTTGAGGTAGCTTCTTGGGACTAGAATTATTGTCATTTGTTTTCTTTTTCTCCTTTTTGAACTTGGAAATATTCTTGCACTTTGAGGCCCATTACATTGATTACCAGAGGCAGAGCTAGGATTTAAAGTTGGTGGGTTTTAAACTTGACACTGAAGCCATAGCAGGTTTTAGTTACTGGGTTCGCAATTATATATAAATACAAATTTAATAAATTTTCTAATACAAATACAGGGTCCACGCAAAAGCTACCGGGTTCGGTCGAACCCGTAAAGAATACCCTACCTCCGCCCTTGTTGGTTCCGGTGGGGCCACTATGTTTTCCGTTTTGACACGCCAACACCCTTACTTGCTCTTCTTTTGTACTTTCTAGTTGTTGGCACTAGTTTATTTCCTATTTTTGTTTGTAGAGTGCGGCTTTTTTTTCTTTTTGAATGTATGTATTCTTTAATTTAAAACTCGAGCCCCACATGCGGGATTACACTGGGTTTGTTGTTGTTGTTGATGATGAAATTAAAACTCGAGCATTACCTTCAATTAATTCAAAGAACTGATACATGAAATATGTGAAAATTTTCCTTTTGACTGATATACCAATTTGGCATCTGTGGAAGAGAATTTCCATCTACTGACTATGATGGCCTGCCAATTAATCACCCATCAAGTTTTTGCTGACCAATTTACTAAGTGCCACCACCTCTATTTTTGTATATTTTCTATGTATAACCCTACAGTAATAGGACTTTCTATCTTATTTCAGGTAACACTTTCTGTTATACTTACTGCTGCTGGAGTTCTTATTGCGGCACTTGGAGATTTTTCCTTTGATCTTTTTGGATACAGTTTGGCCTTTATTTCTGTTTTCTTCCAGGTCTCGCCTTGTTTTTATCATATAGTGATTTTGTTGCATGTATCATCTCACTTATTTGAGATTAAAAATACGTCTTAGTTACATGCCCTTGTTTCATTTTCAGACCATGTACCTTGTGTTGGTGGAGAAATCAGGAGCAGAGGATGGGCTTTCATCAATTGAGATCATGTTTTACAACAGCTTTTTGTCTTTGCCATTTCTGTTATTCCTTATCATAGCCACAGGAGAATTTCCAAATTCTTTATCTATTTTATTTGCAAAGGTTAGGTTCTTTGCTATATTCAGAATAATGTCCTTTTTACTAAAGGGAGATAATGCATAGAAAATTACGTATCAAAAGTTCATAATTAGAATGACCAATGAAGCTAGGATGAACAATCGGAGACCAGGATTTGGATTGCAACTCTAGGTTACTGTCTATTTTTATTGTTTCTGAATGCTTATTGTGGTTCTAAAACTGGTTTTTCCCCCATGAACAGAGTAGTTCAATATCATTTCTTGCAATTCTTATTCTTTCATTGGTGATGGGCATTGTCTTGAACTACACTATGTTCTTGTGTACCATCGTCAACTCAGCTTTAACTACCACGATTGTTGGAGTCCTCAAGGGAGTTGGATCTACGGTATGTTGTCTACAGCCTCAAGTTTTCTTTTATTTCTTCAAGACAGAAAGTAAAGTTGTTGGCAAATTGTTTCGTTGATATCTCTTATTTTTCACTTCAAAATTTTCCTTGGTTCATTATAAGCACTAATGGTGTTTCTCTATTCAGACACTTGGGTTTGTCATGTTGGGAGGTGTAGAAATACATGCTTTGAATGTCACTGGTTTGGTGATCAACACAGCCGGTGGCGTGTGGTATTCATTTGCCAAATATCAACAGAAGAAGAGCAAGTTGCCCAAGATAATGTCTGATATTGAAAGTCATCGTAAATAAAGCTTCCAGAGACTTCAATTTTTTTATTTTTTTTTACAAGTTGAGAATAGAAAACTACAGTTCAATTCAGCATTGGTTTTTTCAAGGTAGTAAAGCATGTGCTATTCAAATGTAATCAGTTAATATTATCTTGACCATGGACTTGCTGTCACACCTAAACAATGTAACCCAGTATTAGAATTGGATCAAATATTTCCTTGGTTTCCAACAAACCGGACTCTTCTCCTCTGTAAGTTTAATGGTTTGGGTTCTCGTTATCATTTTTGGTTTGTGAAGAAAATGGAAATATTTAGCAAAAGGAAATAGGAAATGGAGAGCTATGTTGCTCTGACTCTCCGAAAATGTCGCAGGATACGTGTCGGATCCTCCAAAAGTAGTGTATTTTTGGAGGATCCGACACGGGTGCGGCAGCATTTTGGAGAGTCCACGCAACATAGATGGAGAGAATGTTTTGAGGCATTTGTAGTTTGGTTCGTGTTTCCTGAGTAACTACAGAAATCACTTGGCTTTTTTTTTTTTTTCCTTTTTTCAGGACAAACATGAAAGTAACATAGATATACCTGTGAACACCTAATTTTTGACCACACCCAAATTCTATTCTATTTTACTGTAAATATTTCTTTAAGGTGTCTAATATTAATACTTTAAATTTTTATCTCATTTTTTTTCATTGTTTTTATTTGAGAAAGATTAAAAAGCTTAAAAAAAAATTGCATATTCTTAGAGTTTATATTTTGTTCCTATATTTAAATATAAGAAAAAAAAATATTTTTTGTTTAATTAAGAACTTAATAAGTAGACTAGTAGCTTTTAATTTATTTTTAGCCCCATTTATCTTTTGCTTAACTCCCCTATCCCATTACCCACGTACCACCCCCACATATCTATCCCACTTCCCCACTCCTCACGTCTCCACCTCCCCACTTTCCTCCATACATAATCCACATCCCCACTTATAACTCCTTAGCACATAATAAGATAACCACCAATTCTCTTGATTAAAAAAAAAAAGAAGAACCAACGAATCCCTTCTTCCCAAAACAGACACACACACACACTCACAAAAGACGGCAGTCGTTTTTTTTTCCAGAATAAGCCATTTTCTTCGGTTCCATCTCCAAAAAACGTCGTTGCTTCTTCTTCGGCAAAAGACCACCCCTGACTTCAAAGAACTTAGCCGTTTTCACCTTTCTTGCACCCCAAAAAAGAGAACAACCAGCCACTGTCGAGGTCGCCGGTGAGGTTTCCGTTCACGGTTCCGGCTCCGGTCAAAGGTTCATTCTTGTTCGAACTTTGAAAAGCAGTCAAACGATTGTAAAGGAAATTCCAGCAATGATATGAGTTGTATAGTAGAATTCCTTTTCCAGGTATACATCATATAGCCTGTTTATATACTAAATCATTTTTGACTCACATATTATGGCTAGAATATGAAGAGTTTATCTGGAAATTAATGGTAAATAATTTCAAATATATGTGTTGAGCTGATTTGCCATTTGGACGGCTAAACAAAGATTTTTCAATTGGCTCTTTAGATGATTCCTTTTTATTTTATTCTTTTCGTTGCTGGACAATATGAAAACATAAGTTGTGTTTCTTCCTTAGTTCTATTAGTTTTTTTTTCCTTTAAATATTTTTCACTAAGAGTGAGAAGCATTTACATAATTTTTGGATAGAGCAACTTCTCAACTTTGAAGCTAGCAGAAGAATAAGAAAAATGAGAAAAAATATTTGTGAATATCATTTGTCTTTCTTTACAGAATAAATATTGAGCAGTTAAGTCTTGATATAGTCGCAATTGCAAATCTTTTTCCCATACACATCTGCTAAAGCAAGATAGAGGAATATGATGCACAAGAACGGCACTTTGTGAAGTCAAATAGATGAAAACATGACATACTAGAGTTTTAGATTAATTTTTGGTCTTGAAAAATGAAAATGGACTTTTGATATATATAGCTATAGTTAGTCACATAATTTTTTTTGTTAGCTTTTTCTTTTCTTGTTTTGGTTAGTGGATACTAATGGGATTGAAAATTCTTAGCCGGCCTTTGTCCTTTACTGTTTTCTTTGGCGTAATATAATCACAATTCCCAAAATTACGACCAAAGTATGCGTTCGTGCAACTTTGATCGAACAATCTTAATAATAATAAAATGTTATTAATTGCGTACACGTTCGCGTGACACGAGTACGATTTAAAAATTAATATTCGTAAAAAATGCTTTAGGCATGTCATCGTGATTGTGTACACGTTCGCGTGACATAATTACGATTTTTAAAATAAATTAAGGTACGCGTTCGCGCGACTTTGGCCGAATAATTTTAATATTAGATAAGTGCTATTAATTAGGTACACGTACGCGTGACATGATTTAGAACGCGTACCTTGGCCAAATAATTTAATATTAGATAAGTGCTATTAATTAGTTATACATACGCGTGACATGATTTTGTAGCGCACTAAATAAATGAGTACACATTTGCATGACTTGTTTCAAGATAATTCCGTAATAACGAATAATCAAGCAATTAAAAGCGGTAAAAGGTAAAACGCACATAGGATCTAAAACACGTAATAATCCGTTTATTAAGCTAGGTATATGATTGTAAAGCGACCGTGCTAAAACCACGGAACTGGGGAGTGCCTAACACCTTCTCCCGGGTTAACAGAATTCCCTACCTGGTCTTCTGGTTTCACAGGCCATAAATATAGTCAATTTCCTCGATTTGGGATTTAAAATAAACCGGTGACTTGGGACACCATATAACTATCCTAAGTGGCGACTCTGAAATTAAATAAATAATCCCATTTCGATTTATGTCACTTTAATTGGAAAAACTCCATATCCTCTTGGCGGAAAAAAGGAGGTGTGACAGCTATGGCGACTCTGCTGGGGATAATAAGAATTCGAGCTTGTAATGTGATCTATACTTGGCTTTATTAATTTGATGTTATTACTGTGTTTTTTGGCCTAATGTGCTAATTGCCGCTTATTTACAGCTTTGATATTATTTGAATTGTATTAAACTGTCTTCTTACGCCTCCCTTCTGAGTCTTCTGAATTTATGGTGCACACGTGCGCGTGGCTCACTTTTCTGTTAGAAGTCATACCAATTAGAACGAGGCTGGGTCAAGTAACTAGGCCGGGTAGACTTTCGTGCTCCCGGTACGTTGCCCCCACCTCGGCTCGAGCTGTCCGCTTGGGTAAGCCAGGTCTAAAACACTCCCCCAGGATTTAAACCTAGCTTAACATAACCTCATGCCGGATCCCTAGTAGGAACGTTTGTTTGCATCATGTGCATTTGACTTTGGGGACTCAACACAGGGGTTGGGTCCGTCTAGGACAGGTGTACCCGAGAATTGCAAGACCATCCTGATGCATCTTATGTGCTACTTGTGCATTATGTTTGATTCGGCTTGTGCATGTTGACCGGCTTCTAAAAAATAATAAAATAAAATAAAAATATAAAAATTGAGGTAAAACTAGATGTGAGAAAATAGGAGAGGAAATTTTACCCGATTTTTGAAAAATCTCAATATTTACCCCAAAAAGATTATTACAAAATAAGCCTAAATTTTTCAAAAAAAAAAATGTGTCATCCTATTCCTGAAACATATACGAACTACGCGGGTCTGATTCTCACCGGATGTGAGATACGTAGGCAAACCTCATCGGTTCCGGCCCCCAATTTTCAAAAATCCAAAAAATATTCTTCTTTAATTCCTTCTTTAGAAATCTTTCTTTAAGACGTCAAATTAAAAATTCGAAAATATTTCCACCTTCTTTAGAAGTCTTTCTCCCAAAAATTAAAAAAAAAAATTGAAATCCAAAAAAAAAAAAATTATTTTTATCGAAAATAACCAAAAATAAAAATCCAAAAATATTTTTCTTTCTTTTTAAAGGTCTTTCTTTCAAAAAATTTAAATAAAAAAAGAGATAGAGAATTCAAAGTTCAAAAATATTTCCCTTGTTAGGAGCTTTTACGATTAGTTTTCTTATTAAAAGAAAGTAAAAAAAAAAAGAGTTAGTTTATTTATTTTATTCTTGATCTCCCCGAACTACGCAAGATCTGATTCATGTCTCCACATGATACGTAGGCAACCCACATCAGGTTCGATCGAATCATTTTAAAAAAAAAAAAAAGAAAAAAAAAGAGAAAGAGTGTTTATTTTAACATGCTTGTTGTTTTGAAATAAAAGCTAATTAAAGGTGGTCGGTTTGTTGGTTTGCAATGGCGAGTCACGCAAACAATCCAAGATCCCTCGGGAGTAAAGCATCTTCTCAACAAATGGAACAAGCACCATTGTTGTTGATTCAAGATCAAGAAAAGGCAAGTAGGCAAGTTGACGGTGATAAATAAAAAAATGAAGGCAAATGTGGGGTTGACTTTACCAGATTTGAGCAATAGGACATGGCCTGCTCGGGATGATTTGATGATGGGGAATTTGATCCAGCATTGAAAGCCATAGTAGCCATTGCCGCGGCAGAAGAGAAACAAAAAAAACGGGCGCTAACCCAGAAACTTTCCCTATCAGACGGGAGTCTCTGTAACCGGTCTTGCTATCTTTTCTGCCTTTCGAGTTATTTCAGTGTGTCATCCGAATGTTTTTTACTGTCTTATATTCTGATGTAAACCCTTCTATCTTTTTTTTTTAAATATTCAAATAAATGAAATCGATATTTCATCATCCATGAATGTCTCATTTCTTAATCTTGTCACCTTTCTTATTCTCTTGTCAGTTCTATAAATCCAGATTTTAATAACATGACATGCTTGCGGACTTCATGCCCAGATCCTAAAACGCTGTCAGATTTCGAAATAATGAATCAAGAAGCAGAATGTGTTGAAGATAAGGAGTGTAAGAAAATAAACAGAGAATTGGAACAGTAAGCCTAAATCAAATTCAAATGAAGTTGGTTTATGGCACTGAAGCCGTGATACCAGTAGAAGTTTAAATTTCTTCCCTTCGGATCATTCTTGAAGCCGAGATCGAGGTGAAAATTGAGTCAAGACCCGATTGAAACATTGTCTTTGATTGATGGAAAGTGATTGGCCGGAGGCCACCATGGACAGTTGTACAACAAAGAATGGCCCATGCTTACAAGAAGAAAGTACGGCCCAAGAAATTTGAAGTGGGGCAACTCGTCCTAAGATATATTCTCCCGCACCATGAAGAAGCTAAGGAAAAATTTGCTCCAAAATGCAAAGGTCCATACATTGTAACAAGAGTATTGCCAAATGGAGCGTTGTATTTGGGAGACATCGAACGAAATGTCCCCGAGACAACAGTCAAATCAGATACAGTCAGAAGGTANGTGCGACAGGCTCAGACCCAGAGGCGATTGACGGGGGATCGAACGAACCCGCATTGCCCGTGTGGACCAATCCCCTCAAACCCAACTGGGCCGTCCCTTCAGGACAAGTTCTCTACATTAATGGCGTAAAACTTCGGGATTTTTTCAAAACCGTAATTATGATCTCCTAAAAATGATGATCCTGGTATGGTCTTTTGGCATAGGAGAAGCCACTGCCAAAATATGCTTATTTTAAAAAGACTTTTTCAGAGTACTTTTGGAAAAAATAGTTTGTGTTTGGCCAATTTATTTAAGAAATACTTTTTACAACATTTGGTAAACAAATCGTGTTTGGCCAATCTTTCTAAAAAGTACTTTTGAGTGTCAAATTACCAAAAAGGATAGTACTAAGGTCTTATAATTGTTTTAAAGAGAAAAATGAACTCAAATATTTATCGTAAGAGACTATTATTTTTATTTTATTTAATTAAAATATAAAACATAAAGTAAACAAACATATTAAAGATTTAAATCAATTTTACACATAGTTATACCAAAGCATATATTATTATCTAGTAATTACTTATTGTTACATAATGATTTGAATCATCAAAATACATCATTCAGTATAAATTAGAAGTCTATTCCACAAATTACTATATATTGATAATCTACCATGAAATAATAAGTAAAGTCACTCACACATGATAATATTTCTCAACAATTTCATCTCTATGTCTATCACACAACGCATCCATATTAGTAGAAGACTTGCCTTGCATTTCTAAAGGAATATCAGAAGGCCCATCTCCTTCCTCAATCTCTACAGTAATGTCTTCATTAGCATAATAATTGAATTCCTTATCGGTAGAAGAATATCGTCGGATGAAATTATGTATAGCCATGATAATTGTAACTAGATGATTCTGAGTGTCAAACTTGAAAGATGACATTGAACGTAAAATAAAATAATTTTAAATATATATAAATAAATTTTTTTGTAAAAAAATAGTTAAGTATGTTTAAATTTAAATTCAAAAAGAGTAACTAATTATTAACAACACATAATGTATAACTTATTTTTTTAAAATTTAATTTAAAAAACTGCTTAGTATTACCTAACCTTACTAACTTTATTCTAAATTGCCAAGTGGCCTGTAACGATCCGGCCGGTCGTTTCGAGAGTTATAATCCGTTTTCTTCTTTATTTTGTGTTCTTCAGCTGTATTTGATCGTATCGCGTTAGTTGGTTCGGGTTCGGAGTGGTTTCGGAGAGAATCGAGACACATAGTCTCTTTTGAGAAGGCTTAAGTTGGAAAAGTTGATCGGATGTTGACTTATGAGTAAACGACCTCGGAATGGAATTCCGGAAGTTGGAGTAGGTTCTTAGTGTCATTTGTGACTTGTGTGCAAAATTTCATGTCATATGGACGTGATTTGATAGGTTTCGGCATCGTTTGCGGAATTTGGAAATTTAGAAGTTCTTAGGCTCGAATCTGAGTGTAACTTGGTGTTTTGATGTTGTTTGAGTGATTCGAAGGTTCGACTAAGTTTGAATGAGGTTATGGGTGTGATGGTATGTTGGTTGAGGTCCCGAAGGCCTCGGGTGAGTTTCGGGTGGTTATCGGATCACTATTTGGCTTTGGAAGTTGGAAATTATCTGATATCTGGTGTTGGAAAGTTGCAGGTCTCGGATCATTAGAAGTGCGGCCGCGATATCGATTACGCGGACCGCGATGGGAACTTCGCGGACCGCGGAAGGACTTGATTCAGGATTCGCGACCGTGGTAGAGGTTGGCTCAGGACTCGCGGCCACGATGGAATTATGCGGACCGCGGTAGTGATTGCACGACCGCGGTGAGAAATATGCGGACCGCGGACTAGAAGTTCAGAGAGCACTATATAAGCGAGGTTTAGGGTTTTATTTCATATCTTGGACTTTGGGAGCTCGGTTTGAGGCGAATTTTCGGGAGTTTTTCAAGGAAAAGTAATTCTAACTCGGTTTTGGCTAATAATCATGAATCTATCATTGATTTCATCATTTGATTTGTAACTCGAGATGTAATTTGGGGGAGAAATTTGAGGACTTTCATAAAATGAACTTTTGGATTTTGAAAGACGATTCGAAGTCGGAATTGAGAGAAACTAGTATGGGTAGTCTCGTAATCGAGTGTGTTGTTGGATTTTTTGACTTTGGTCGGATTTTGAGACGTGGGCCCGGGGTCCGGTTTTTGAGTTGACCTTTTGACTTTTGGCCTAAAGCTTAGCATTTTCTTATGGGATTGATTCCTTTAGATCGTGTTGATTGTGTCGAATTGTTTATGGCTAGATTCGGAGCATCCGGAGGTCGATTTGAGGGGCAAAGGCATCGCAGAGTAGGATTTTGGCTTGGCTGAGGTAAGTAACGCTTTCAAACTTGGTTCTGAGGGTTCGAAACCCCGAACTTCGTGATATGTGATTAGTATTGAGGTGACGCACATGCCAAGTGACGGGCGTGTGGGCGTGCACCGTGAGAATTGTGACCTGGTTCATTCCATGGTACCGAATAGTGATTTTATCTTGTTGATATATGTGTTTCTTCATGTGATGAAGTAAATGGATTGGAAATCATGCTAGTTGTCATGCTAGGGCTTTACGCCGATACTGTTGAGACCCGAGTGGTCGTTTCTTGCTGTCACTTTATTAGATTCATTGATATTCTGTACTCAGTCTTACTCATGCATATCATATCATGTCTCGGTCTCAGTTGTATTATTTGGCACATCATATCATTGTTTCGGGCTAGTTTCAGGGATTATGAGCCCGTGTGTGAGAGACTGGAGAGTGATGACTGAGTGAGGCGAGAGCCTAATTATGAGTGGTAGTTATGGGATCGGGCTGCACGCCGCAGTGGTTATGTTGATTATTATGATAGCGCTTGGGCTGTAGGAGCCCCTCCGGAGTCTGTAACACACCCCCAGTGAGGGCAGATAATATTTTGAGGGATGGATTTCCCTGGACATGGATTTGTCCGATTGATATCTGGAGATGGATTTCTCCACAGGGTTGGATTACCCTTTTCCTCGGTACTGAGTGATTATAGTCAGCGATGAGTATATTCCGGGATGGATTTCCCTGTGCCGGATGGCCATATGCGGTACTATATATATACATACACACACACACACACGTGGAGATGGATTTCTCCACAGGGTTGGATTACCCTTGTTCCTCAGTACTGGTTGACTTGTAGCCAGTGTTGTATATGTTCCGAGATGGATTTTCCTGGGCCGGATGGCGATATGCAGTACTGAGTGGTTGAGCACTTGAAAGTGAGAGCATATGATGCATTTCATACATTATGTGCATTGGCATGTAGAGTTAGCTGAGTTTTATATAACCCATTGTTCAGATCTGTACTGATTTTACTGCTCGAGTTGTATTCTTTAATTGATAGCATGCCTACTTTTCCTGCACAGTTTATTTCTACTGCCTGTTGAGGTTACGTTCGTTACTACCTATCAGTCCATAGTTTGGACTTGTTACTTACTGAGTTAGTGTACTCACGTTACCCCCTGCACCTTGTGTGCAGATCCAGGTACTTTCGGTCCCGGTGGCAGTCATTGACCGAGGTCGCAGGTTTTTGTGATTGTTGAGGTATCTGCATGGGGTTCGCAGGCCTTGACCCTCCTTCTCTATTCTAGATGTGTTTCGGTTGTAATCAGTAAACACCGTTAGTTTTTGAACACATTGTGTCAGTGAGACTAAAGGTACTCCACTTTAGCATACTTAAGAGACTAAATATGCTCAGGGTTATATTTGAGGGATCAAAATAGACCTACCCTCAAAGATAAGGGACAATATTGGCCAAAACTCAGACCTATACTAGTGGATTACCATTCAATTATCAAAAATCTTGAAGAGGTACCGGGGCATGGGATCGATTCTCAGCCACTGCATTTTGCACCAGGCTGCCCTTTTTCCTTGAAGATGTACTGGTATTTGCTCTGAGTTTGAAAATGAAGTTTTGGAAAAGAAATTTCTTTTTTTTTTTTTTTTTTTTTTTTTTTTTTTTTGCAAAAGCTGCTTTTCAACCAAACACCAAGAAGTCTTTCAGTTTTGGCCAAACAAAAAAAACTAGTTTTGAATAATTTTCCTGTTATTCAAAAATTGAAATACTTTTTGGTTGGTGTTTGATTAAAAAAAACTGTTCTTGATGAAAGCTGGTCTTTTTTTTTTTTTTTGCAGAAACTTTTCTTCAAAATTTTGAAACAAATCAGTAGCGATGATCCAACATAATCAAAAGTTATGGTACGGCCCTTCCCCGGATCCCGTGCATAGCAGGAGCTTAGTGCAACGGGCTGCCCTTTGGTATAAATCAATCATTGGGGCTCTAGGTAAAACCTAGGGCCGGCCAAGTTATATGCAATAAGTAGACTTATTTAAAATCCACACAGGAAAAAAAAAAAAAAAAAAAAAAGGTAAGACAAAGATTACAAAAGAAAGCTTGAGAATAGGTTCTTGCAGTCTAGAGAACAGTGGAATAGAGGTTCATCAGAACGATAGGATTACGCAGCTGAGGTTGCAATGGTGCTGCTCTTACGTGGTGGAGGATGTCCTCCCAGAAATGCTCTAAAAAGTGTAAGAGCTTGTGAAGGAGATGTATAGGGCACTTCATGAGCTGCACCTCTTACTGTAGCAAATGTTAAATATGTAATGTTTTTGCCTTCCCTTAGCCCTCCAAATGACCGACTCCATCCTCCAATCTGCAATTAAGCAACAAATTATATATATACAGGCACGTTTCCATTGTCTGATCCCTCCAGTATAGAGATGGATCCAAGATTTAGAGTTAGTGGATTCTAGGAGTTCATCTATTATAACTAAAATTATAAAGTTTTTTTCCTATGTTATCCTAACTAAAAGCAAAAATGCAGTCGCATCTTTTATCTAAGGCTACATTGTACTTTGGGAATAGGGGAACATACCTGCAAGCCATCATACCAAGGACCATATTTGTCAAAAGCAACTAGCTTTAAATCTCGAGCAAGCAGTTTAGCAATTTTCCTAGTTTGGGTCAGTGGGAGTTTTGAATCTTGATCTCCACTGGAAAAAGCAAAACATGCACAATTTTACTTTAGATTAGCAGCTTTTAACAAAACCCAAAAAGTAAAGACTACGTAGTTGTTACAATTGTGAAGTTAGCAGGAAATTTGAGTGTAGGAACTTCATACTTGGTAATGAACTAACCTGAAAAGCAGAATTGGTATATGCTCTTTTAGAATATTAGACAGTAGAGGTATAATGTTCATAGCAACATCATCTAGCCTATACTGAAGGGGCCTGCATTTTCAGAGATTTTAACAGACTTGTTTTATAAATGCATAGGCAACAAGCAGATGAGAAAGTAAATGGTGTTACAAACACAAAATAAATAAATAAAACTATTCTCTGTTTAATAGTTTATGATTTTAGATAAAGCGATAAATAGAATTTAGTGCAAGAGATAGTGACGGGACGGAGAGAACCTACCCTGAACAAATCTCCCAGGCATACGGCAGGTAAGTGGTATTGGCATGTAGCGCCTTCTGAACTTCTGGCTTGTTGAGGTACAGATCAATCCACTCAGTAAGGCATGGATCAGCAACTTTTCCTACTTTCTTATCTAGCTGTCAAAAAAAAAATAGCTGCAACAAGTTAGCTCCAATTGCAAATAGTTGAATTATGTCCTGATCACGGTTCTCATGGAATTTGTTTTATACCTTTTCATGCATTGTGGAAAGGTTTCCAAGGGTCCGTAATCGTCCTGCTGCATTAGAGGATACACATGTTGGCAAAAGAATATCGTCCTTGACTGTATCATTTCCCATCTCCTCCGTTCTGAGTTCCCACACTTTCGAGCATTCGTTAGATGTCTCATTACGTATATACTCCAGCACATACCTTGTTTCATTACAGATTGTTCTTTGCATATCAAGCAGTTCATCAGAAATGACACCATGTGACCATAGATATTCCGCCGACTTCACGCTTATTTCAATATCTAGCAGTGGATTCCCCAGCTACAAAGCCATTGGACTAAGTGAAGATTTGAAAGTGATAATATTATCAACAGATAGTTGAAATATGAAAACATGCTTTGGTGGTTCAAGAGTAATGTAAACATTACTGCAATTGATTTAAGCTTTATTGGTTTAACATTGGGCTTTCTGTTGTAATCAAGCAGCAATAATGTGAACTGTGGTATATAGTGACCTAAGAACCAAAAACATTCTTATTAGTTAACAAATCTTAGTGTTAAAAAGCTACGAGTATATACAACCAAAAGAGTATATAGATTAGGCCAGTTCATATGTGAACCTGCATAACTCTCCCCGGTTAAGTACACATCCAAGTTTCTATATTGAGGGAACTTCTTGAACCAGTTGAGGATGAATTGGAGATTCTCCTTAGCTGTAAAGGATAAGAAAGAGCAAAAACAATGATATCCTGTAGCATTGACTTATCAATATTATTGGCTATTTCAGGAAAACTGGTGTACCAGTTGCAGTATCATCCCAGTTGATGTTGTCTGAGCTTGTATTTGAGTATGAAAATCCTACCCCAATAGGGGAGTCCACATATAGCATGTTCGATTCTGTTTCATATTCAGCAATCAAAATCAGTCATTTTTATCAGGTTCTCGGGTGTAAAAACTTTTATATGTGATCATTCAGGAAACAAGAAACATTACCAAAATTCCAGGAATATTTGTTTTTTATAAGACTCCCATCTTTCCCTGGCCGAAAAGGACCATGCTGCATAAAAGCACCGTAACCCACAGATGAACAACCAGGGCCTAAGGTTTTAGATTCAATCAAATTAATAACTTTTTAGTTCAATTCTTGAAATGAAAAACCAAGGTCAACAGAGAAATGTACCTCCATTGAGCCAAACAGTAAGGGGAAGTGACGCGGCATTTTCTGAATCTGCTTCGACAAAGTAATAAAATAGGGCTCTGCCATGTTGAGCATTTGTAACAATATAACCAGAGTATTGTTTGAAGAAAATATTTGGAGGCTGTCCAGGAAGAGAAGTTATGAGCTCAGAACTTGATTTGAAGAAGAAGAAGAAGGAGGAAGATAAGATAGTGAAGATATAGAACCATGGAACCATTTTCAGATGGAATGAGTGAATCAACTTTGAAACTTGAAACACAGCAAGTATATCCCTGCACGCTAAACTTTGCACTTAATATTACTGTATATTGACATCTAATTATTACTCCCTCCGGTCCACAATAAGTGACCAATTTGCTTTCGGCCCACCCATTAAAAAAATACTAAAATTTAGATAAAAATAGTTAGTGTGACTAAACTATCCTTAATTAAATGTTGCAGCATAATTTAATATGAGGAGTAAAAGACTTTTTAGGGATACATACATAAGGGTAATTTTGGAAAAACAAATTGAATTTTGTCTTGATTATATAAATGGACACTTATTTTGTACCAAAATAAAAAAGCAAATCGGTCACTTATTGTGGACCGGAGGGAGTAAATGATAAGACAACAGCTAAAAGATACATCAACATTAAACATCTAATCTTTTGATAAAGAAAAAAAAAAGTACATGTTTAAAGGGTTAAATATGTCCTTATACTATTGAAAAAGGTTTAATATTACCTTCCGTTATACTATCAGTCCAAATACACCCCTAACGTCATACTATCGGTCCAAATATATCCCTGACATCATGAAAGTGGTACAAACCTAGCCTTCCTCCGTTAACTGCCTTCCCTATGAACACATTTTATTGCTACCTCACCATTTCACCCTGTTTGCAGCTACCAAGTTCAATTACTTTGAAGTTCTATCATTATTTTGAAGACTTCACTACCTCTACTTACTCTTGCTTTTCAAAATACTTGTTGCTTCTCCGGCCGATACTGGAATTGTACGTACCTTTCACTTGACCTTACAATTTTGTGTTTTGTTTTGCTTTTCCTTGTTTTGTCGCTGAATCTGTAAGACGTATTTAGGGAAAATTTAGTACCACTTTTATTTTAATATAAAACGTAAAGAGAGAAAAAATGGTAGCCTTCCAGAAATGTGGTTGAAGAGAAAGAAACAAAAAAAATATTAACTCTCGTGTCTAGGTTGTTTTTCTTTCTTACCATGGTCAATTTTGAAACCTTAAACTTTTGCCTGAATCTTTGCTTAGTTTGTTATATAAAACAAAATGTATTTTCGTCTGTATAAGCATTAATTTTGAATAGCAAAATCAGAATTTTCTCGGTTCACATTGTTTCATATTATCTTTAGTTGTTAGCATTTCGTTTGATATAGTTTGTTTGTATATCTATGATCTGTGATTTTTCTTCAAATGAACGGGAAAGAAAGGTTGTGGGGAAGAGATGAAAATGGGAGTATAATGGTGAGGTGGCAATGAAATGTTGCAATAGGGAGGCAGTTAACGGAGGAAGGGTAGGTTTGTACCACTTTTATGATGTCAGGGATATATTTGGACCGATAGTATGACGTTATGGATATTTTTAGGACTGATAGTATAACGGAGGGCAATATTAGACCTTTTTCAATAGTATAGGGATATATTTGACCCTTTTCTGTTTTTTAATCAACATGGCCTTTACACATGTAATTTCATTTTTTGATAAAGAATTACGACATGTTTAAAGGTTGACATATTTTTTAATCCACACGGGCTTGTTGTATTATCACTTAATAATTAGATGTCAGTATATTAATTAATATTAAGTGCAAAGTTAGTGCAGGGAAAAAATTTCAAACCAATCAATGATAATCATAAACAAGGGTACATTTGCAATAATTATAATGATACATCTATCCAGCTCATGTGAGGCAGGAAAAAATAGTAACAGTCGGTGGGTTAGTAGTTTAAATATATAATGATATTAAAAAATAAAAATAAAAACTTTTCTCAGTTGACCTTGCTGCCTTTACAACTGTGTGGTAGAAAATCATAAAGTAATCCTTAGTCTTTACAATAAAATAAAAAAAAAAAGACATTTACTCCTCAAGGCATTCAAATGGAAACAGCACTTAGATCAGAGCTTGAATCATTAGAATGATTAATTCAAAAACTGGTAGCAAAAGCAGCAAATGGGCCAATTAAGCATTGGCTGATGACCACCCAGAAACTGAAATAAATGTTTGAACAGGCGCAAATGAAAACTCATCGAAAAAGAAGAGAAGCTTTACTCTCAAAGCAACAATAACTATGTGTAATCACAAGCATGTTAGAATAAGCTAGCACATAAAATCCTCTATAGGAACCCCATACATTCATTCGACTCTATTCAGACCCATTTTTATAGAACCCAACTTTCAAACTCAGGAAAGTTTACCTGTAGAAGGAAGAGGATCCTTGAGTCAAGAGTCAGAGTAAAATCTCTGCCGTTCAAACTTCAAGTAAGCAGAACTCATTGGATTGTCGAGGAATAATGAAAGAAGAGAGAAGCTGGTGATTTTTGTAGAATTTTGGAGGTTACGTCCTACATTTATTTAAGGAAAAAATATATCCGTACTTTAGATGTTTTATTTATTTTACATGGTTTCATGGGTTTTGACTAGAAAATGATAAAAATACATTTTAGAGTTAGTTTATAAGTACTACTACTACTTTATGAGTAATAATCCTTTGGATATACTCTTGGTCTTTTAGTTTTATAAAAGTGAGCATATTTAATACTGTAAATTTTAATTGTTAGATTAATGAAAATTATAAATAAGTAACCAGGTGTTTTGTATACGGTCGAAATCAGATATGCCCGATTTCATGGGCTCGAAGAGCCAACTCAAGCCCGAGTTCAGGGTGGATCGAGCTCGAGCCCGATGGACTAAGCTCGAAACTAACGACGGAGTATAAGCCTCGAAGATCGAAGTATGCAATGTGCACCGAAGCCGAGATCGACCGACCCCGAGATGATGCCATTATGGGTTTGTAACAGAAAGAGCAAGATTCACGTCACGTCCCCAAGATCATGGCGTAAATTCCGGAATAGATTTGTACGAGTTAGTACAAATCCGTACTAGGCGGTTAGACAGCTGTCCCAAGAAGTTTCTTTACAGTAAATAGAAATGTACCTTATTTAGGGTTCCCCTATTATATAAAGGGGACCCCAATCATTTGTAACCATCATCAATCATTGGCAAAGAATATACTCTGTATTTTCTTGCTCATATTTCATCAGAATTGTCTTTTAGCTTTGTTGTTCTTACTTTATTGTTCTTGACCTACCTCGAGGCCGTCTTAGCTCGAGGTCGAGACTAGCTTGTATATTGGTTTGATTTTACTTATTTCTTTACTTTACACATTAGATTTCTTGGTTATCAATTTGTGTTGAATTAAATCACATATCTTTAAAACTACGAACAAGTTTAATTGTTACTCGTATTTTCGAGGTAAATAGTTTGGCGCCCATTGTGGGGCTAAAGATAATAGTGGTTATTTCAGTACTGATTCTGATAACACACGTCATTTTCACACTTGTTCTTGTCAAGAATTTTTGTTCTCAGGTTAAAACATGTCAAACTCGCAAAACGCACTCGTACACAGCGACGATGGTCTTGGATTCCATGGAGAAAACAACAATGTAGGGGGCCGGTGTACCACCGATTAACCATGGGGAAGTGCCATATTTGAACCAGTTGATGCCAGTTCACCATTGCTTTGAATACGGATTTAGGCGTAGACCCCGGAGGAAGTGTACGCAGGGAAGCCCGATCTGGTGGCCAAGGAACATAGGGTATAGGAGACGGGAGAATCAGCCTCCAAGTAATATTCGAGATGTTTCAAGCTCAACAGGTTGCTATCGCTCAGCTTCAAAGTCAGCACAAAACGCCAAGTATAGTCGAACTAGAAAACACTCGACGTACTGAGCCGGTGCCAAAAAGATCAAACGGTAATGGCTTGGGGACTACGATTATGAGGATGCTTGAGGAAATCACCAAGAGAATCGAGTCCGGGGAGAAAAAGATTGAGGATAATGACAAAAAAGTGGAGACTTATAACTCCCGTGTTGATCAAATACCGGGGGCACCCTTAAAAAGAATGGATTCCAAAAAGTTCGTACGAAAACCGTTCCCTCTGTGTGCGGCTCCGAAGCCCATCCCAAAGAAGTTCCGTATGCCCGCTATACCTAAATACAACGGAACCTCTGACCCAAATGAGCACGTTACTTCTTACACGTGCATTGTAAAGGGAAACGACTTGAAAGACGACGAAATCGAGTCTGTACTGCTGAAGAAATTCAGGGAGACTCTATCGAAGGGTGCCTTAATATGGTATCATAACTTACCCTCTAATTCTATTGATTCGTTTGCTATACTTGCAGATTCTTTTATAAAGGCACACGCCGGAGCCATTAAAATTGCAACAAGGAAGTCGAACCTTTTCAAGGTAAGGCAAAAAAATAACGAGATGCTCAGGGAATTCGTATCTCGGTTCCAAGCGGAGAGAATGGATTTGCCTCCGGTAGCCGATGACTGGGCTGTTCAAGCTTTCACTCAAGGTCTCAACACTCGGAGTTCCATAGCTTCGCAGCAGTTGAAGCAAAGTTTAATCGGGTACCCAGCTGTCACTTGGGCCGATGTATATAATCGGTATCAGTCGAAGATTCGGGTCGAGGATGATCAACTGGGGACTCCTTCGAGGTCCGTTTATCCTAGCAGGCCCATGGATTGGGTCAAAAGGGACATCGATCGAGAGAAGAGGTTGAATAGAGATCGATATCAACCGTACGACGGAGACCATAGAGGCAGCGGGTCTGGGCAAAGTTTCGCACGAAATGAGAGGAGAAAAAGTTTCGCACGAAATGAGAGGAGAAATGATCGAGGTCAAAATTCACGGGGCTTGACGCCGAGGAAGATCACGTTAAATATCCAAAATTCAAATAAAGGTACGACCCCATTCCAATCCTTTCTATTTTTCGACTAACACTTGCAGGCTATCGACAAGGATCAGCACGAAGCTTTGGATCTTAAAGCACGCGTTGCACTCTTTTTTCCTTAGGCCGTTTTTTGTCCCAAATAGGTTTTTCCGGTGAGGTTTTTAACGAGGCAATCATTGTTCGTGCTAACTTAGAGCAATTCAACAGTATCCGAGGTTCCCTACAATAAGCCTCGAGTACTGGGGGCATTACCCTCGAATGTCTACTTTGGTTCAAGGAAATCATTTCGTGACAGCGGGGTCTCGATAGGAAAATGTTGTAAGGGTCAACAGTCAGATGAACCGTACCCGTATAGGTTACTCGGGCCCTAACATCAAACATGCGCGCATGTATAATCATCTATTAAGAGAAGTATTTTCCCTTGACGATATCTCCTGCCTTTAGAAAAATTTCCTATTTTATACTCTTGATCTATTGTGTAAACAGGCTTAAGGTCCAACCATGACGGAAATCGAACTGCTAACATTTCAAGACCATAAGACTTTAAAGGAAACCCTCGATTTTGCAGGCCATGGCCACCCTACTTGGGGACTGACATTTCGGGCAAGCTTGAAGTGAAACGGAAAATAAGCCCAACGAGCAAGTTCTGAACTGAAGAGGCTACGGCCAAATTAACGTGGATCGGAGACGTCCAAAATTCGTAACAAATACAAAAGCCCAAGGGCTGTCTTAACCCGAGTTCGAGCAAACTCTCGCTTGGGGACTATCTATAAAGCCTAAGGGCTAACTTTACTTCGAGTTCGAGCAAATCCTCACTCAATCATAAAATCCTAAGGGCTATCTTAACCCGAGTTCGAACAAACTCTCACTCGGGGACTATCTATAAAGCCTAAGGGCTAACTTTACTTCGAGTTCGAGCAAATCCTCACTCGATCATATAAGCCTAAGGGTTGTCTTAACCCGATTTCGAGCAAACTCTTGCTCGG